AGATTGAAAGTAAGAGGACATACCAGTCATGTGTTTTGACGCTCAAGAATCGATGATCCATGGAGAGTCAAGGTTGTGTGAAGAGGCATGGAAAGCTATGGCAGGATTACCTGATATGGATGCAAAAGATGTGGTGGGAGGAGCATCCATCTGGCGAATTGCTTTACCATAAAGCTCCAAATGGTCACAGTAGCTGTGTTGGCTATGTGGTGTTTGAGTCACAGTTGAAGTGGAGGACTGATTCTCCCAAGTAACCATATTGGCCATGTGGTGTTTCTTGATACCTTGTTGCCTGGGTCTTCTAATTACATCTGAGCCTTGCTTCTTAGGTAAATCCTGAGCCCACTTTGGTTTCCCATGGAGATCCCAACAAGTATCTTTGGTGTGCCGGGGCTTCTGACAATTAGTGCACCACAATCTTTCCTTATTCATGATTCTAGGTTTAGAAGTACTCAAAACAAAGGCACACTGCCTTACAGAGCTGTTACAGTCCACAACTAGGCACTTGATGATTTTCGGTTTCACAGAGAACCAAACACAAACACTGCARCTGCAGTACTAGTTTGTATGACCTACCCTTTGTAGGAGTCCACAGAACAACATACGAACACTGCACTTGCAGTGTAGCCAGGTCTAAATAACCTACAACTTTCATGCAGCTTATCAGTAGGAACAACAATACATCAATACAAGTGGTGGTTCACCACACCTAATCGGCTGATATTCACTTTTCAGGGCAGCCGAACAATCACTTAGGGTTTAGGGTTCAACAACAGTCCCTTAGAGAGCTGAATAGAGCAGCACACAGTYGAAGGAGGGAGAAAAAGAAAACCGAACAGTCCCTACTCAGATTTTAGGACATTAACAGTCCATCGAAAGAGGGCAAGAAGAGAACCATAAATAGAGAAACTTCAGTTCAGTACCCAGATCACCCAAACTATGAATAGGCAATACAAACAGTACACTCGTGGACCCAATCTTCTCTGCAGGCCAGAACCCTTCCTTGTACATCTAGGATGTTTTTCCACAGTCTTCTTAGCCGAGCAACCCTAGAAAACATGTAGTAGAACTCTTTTCTGCGCTAGGAAGTTGAACAGTCAGCTCTCTTGTAGCAGAACCATACTCGGCAGAGGAGACTAACTGCAGCATTAGAGAATGCTTCCTCTTCCTTGTCTTCGAGCATCAGGACCATAGCTCCTATGCAGCAGTGAAGAGAGACCTCAGCTGGTTGTTTTCCAGGTCTAGTCGGTTTTGCTCTGATACCATGTTGAGCAGAAAAGAAGAGAAGAAGAAGAAGAAGAAGAAGAAGAAGAAGAGAGAAGAGGCTGCAGACTTAAGGCCTCAAAAGAACTGCTTCATGCGAGTGAAGCATTTGTATTTATATTATACTAGCCGTACAACACAAAAGGACTACAAAATTACAAAAATACCCCTACGGGCACTAAACCTGCGTACACTACATATAATACACCTGTCAACATAAATCACATCTCAGAGCAAACCATAGGATTAGAAATTGAAGATAAGTTCCCCATGATGGGTTGGGTGTGCCCTTTATTTTAGGAGAAAGTTCACAAGTTGATTTCAAAGTGCTCACACTTAGGGAGCTTCATTAGGACACAAGTGGACAAGCAATTTAGGGCTACTTAATTAACAAAACAAGTAGAAAAACAACACCTCTTCTTTTCAAAACAAAAGGAAAAAAGTTTAAAAAAATAATTCTTCAACTGGACTCAGTTTGACTAGAAACTGAGGGGCTAGGAAGCCAAATGGCTTTACAAAGATGACACAACTAGGTTTATAAAGGTTTGGACAAGTCTTGGTTTGGCTGACCTAGAAAGCTAGTAAATGATGGCTGAACATGTTTGAACTAGACCAATCTTAGGTTAAATTTGGGGATGAGGTGACCAAAACATGACTTAACAACGTCTAACTAAACCCGGTTTGGGTTGAACTGGTGATAAAGTTGGGAGTGTGACTCAAAAGGGTCTAGATGCAATTGGGTGTAGGTGAACCAAAGGAAGACTCTATGACCATTGAACCCGGTTGAAGGTAAGAGCAAATGAAGAATACTTAACCAAGCTTCGACTACACTGGAGATTGAACCAAAGACAATAAAACTAAACCAAAACAACATCCTTGACCCATAGCTTGAACCTCTACGCAAATTGTACTACATAAAAAAAAAAGGCTAGATTACATTCTAGAACAGTAGAAATAAAGGCTTTCATTGAAACTTTAAAGGCAACAAAGTGAAACCCCACCCAATCTCAAAACTACTATTGTGCCTCAAAAGATTCCCTTTCACCAAACAGCTGCTTTGCAACACCCCATCATTCTTCATCCACTATTTCTTCCTCTCTACCCCTTCATCTTCATTCAAAGCCTTCCCCCTCTTCCCCCAAAACTCTTGGTTTATAGACTCTTCCCTTCTATTTCTTTCAAATTGTTCAATTGCTTTCTTAATCACCGCTTCTCCCCCAAGAAAGAATAATCCAAGAGACTTCTCGATTTCCACCTATCTATCTACAAGTTTGTCAATACCCACTATTTCCTTATCAAAATTGCTCTCCTTAGGAGACTCTTCATTTCCACAATCCCCTAACTCCCTTCCCCGCTCTCTCTCCTTTCCCCTTCTTCCTTAAAACGAGATTCTACAGTTGCCTTATATTTCAACAATCCGATTTTTCCATCCTTCCTCCTTTCTCAATCATGTTTTCAATGACCTCTTTCTTAGTTACAATCTCTTCACCTTCCTTCTCTTTTGTAATCTCTAGCCCAATTTTTTTTTTTTTTTTTATCTCTTTTCCTTTGAGGACTCCACATCTATTTGATTGGGAGGAATAGAATCTGAAATCAAGTTATCCGGATCTAAATTCAAAGTTGTTACCTTATTTCTGTCTTTTAGTGAGGTTTGCCCTTTAGCCTTGAATTTTGATCTTTTCCTTTTGTAAATTCTCTTGAATTTGTTGTTAGGACTATCCTTGACTAGCCCTTTTAAGCTTGTGAAAAACTTTAGTCACATGAGCCAACTGCTTGCTTCCTAACCCTTTGGGTTTTCTGAGATTCCTTGTTTTAAGTATGTCGTTAACAGGATTTTTTGAGACACTTTCAGCCCTTCTCCTTCCTAGATCCACTCCTAATTTCCCTACTAAAATGAATATTCGCAAAGCTTCCTCCTTGCATGCCTGAACCAAATCCACTTCCCTTGTTTCCCTTGGAAGCCAAAACCAACTCCCTATTATCAAGCTTTCTTGAACTTACCTCGCTCTTCGGCACACAACCTCACCCAGGTGCTTCATTTCCTTAGATCTCAATTGGATCCGTGGGGATATTTGTTGTTAATATAGTTGGCATTAGGCAACTAGGCGACGTGCGACTTTTAGAGGTCGCCTTGCCTAATGTCAATATGATTTTCAAATTACCATATCATTTTTTTGAATGCTCATATATATATATATCATTTTATTGGTGGGTTTTATTTTATTAACATACACCCTTTTGTATGTTACACTTTTTTTAGTTAAGATCTTATATATATATCTATATATATATTATATATATCATTTTATTGCCATTAGTTTCAAGTTGATTGTTCGACCAACCGGTTCGAATGAATGGTCTATTCTAACAACAAAAATTACAAACAAAAAATTATGGAACTGTTCTTGCCACTGGTTTTTGGGTTGACATTTCGATTGTCGAGTTCGACGAACGACCTGTTCTGACAACAAAAAATTGAGTGTGTGTGTTCCATTAAGTAGTATCATACGTGTTATGTCATTCGAGCGCATGACTCATACGACCCGAAAACAGAACCGTTCTAACCACCGGTTTTTGGGTTGACAGTTCGACTGTCTAATTTGAACGGACGACCCGTTCTAACAACCAAAATTAAAAAAAAACGGCCAAAAACCATTGAATGGGTCAACGGTTGATGGTTTGACTACTCGGGTCAATGGATCGTTGACCAATTCAATGGTTTTTTGGCCAGAGTTTGGGTTTGGGATAAAATGGAACTGGTTGCCTGGACGGTTCCCAATTAAAAAAAATACAAAAAAGGTCAAATACCATTGAACGGGTCAACAGGTCGACAGTTTGACCACTCGAGTCAATGGGTTATTGATTGATTCAACGGTTTTTGGCCAGGGACTGGGGTTGGGGTAAAACGAAACTGGTTGCTTGGATAGTTCTCGGGCCGAAATATCCATCCATCCAGGTCAACAGAAAACCATGGTTTTTTGTGCTTTTGGATTTTCACTATTCAAATGTTTCTTATACTGATGATTTTAAGATCCTCCAAAATGGTATAGGGTTTACCACCATTTTTATTTCTTCCATTTTGTTTTCCCTGTGTTTTCTTGTGCAATGTCTTTTTTTTTTTCTTACAAGACGATCTGCTTTGTCTTTTTCTTTGATTGCATGTATGTTAAGTTTTGTCTCACAGCGGAACTTGAACTCGATTTTCTGATTTTTTTTTTTGGGTTTTCTAGTTTGGTGGATTTATCGCAAATTTTTTCTATGTTTAAGGTCACTTTGGGTTTATCTTTCAAGGTTTTGGAATCCCTTGCAATGTCCACCATTCCTATGACTACAAAGTTAATTCGTCTAATTATTAACATCTAGAAAAAACGACCTAGGAACGGAACTGTTCTGGCCACCAGTTTCCAAGTCGACGGTTCGACCATCGAGTTCGAATGGATGGCTTGTTCTAACAACAAAAATAAAAAAATTAAAAATGGCCAAAAACCGTTGAACGAATCGACCTCTTGGATCAACGGGCCATTGACTGATTCAACGATTTTTTGCCAGGGACCGGGTTTGGGGTAAAATGGAATTGGGTCGACGGTTCGACCATGGATGACTACAAAGGACAACTGTAGAACTCAAAACTCACTGTATGATCATATTAATTCTTTGCTGAAACAATATTTAAAAAACGAGCACAGATCTCTTTTTAGTATTTATATGAATTTCTTGGATGCTTTATAATTAGACCAGTCCATTTTAGTATTTATATGAATTTCTTCTCGGCCCCTTCGGCGGCTAGTAGTTCCTTTATTAGCATTATGCGTTTGTTACATGTTTTTTTGGGTTCTAAATCGAGGCCGAGAAGAGAAGATAGAAAAGACTAAGAAGAGAGATCGACACTTAAAAAAGAGTTTCCATTGTTTCAACCGAGACTGAGAAGAGAAGACTGACGATTGAGAAGACAAGACAAGTAGAGAAACCAACGACTAAGAAGAGTTTTTCAGCCCAAGTCGTCGAAGACCTGGTAATTTCTTCTTCTTCTTCTTTTAAGTTGTCCTGTTCTCTTGTATTTTTTTCTTAAATTTTTATAAAAAATATTGTCGGAAACAAAACAAGGGCTTCGCTGACGCCCCCTCCTTCTTTGAATGGTCCTATCACTCTTATTTTCTTAGTTTTTTAAATACCTTTGGGAAAAAGACTGAGGCTCTTGTATTTTTTTTCCTTTTTTACTGCATTCAACCTTGTGACTTCTCTCATAAATAGAATGATTTGTTGCTCAAGAAGCAGAGTTACTGAGGGCTGGGAGGAAGCAAGGTGTGATATACGAAAAATGATGAATAACAAATGGGAAATTATTCACATTCCCGACAAACCACCAGTTCCACCAAATCAACAACCCACTGGTAAGTAACCTACTAATTGTTCCTCTTTCTAGCTGCATCTTTTTCCTATCTTTCTTTTGATAACGGTTGCAGCTGAAAGCTTACTCAGAGATTTCTACTATAAATGGTGATGGGTACTGTGAGATTTCTACTATTAATGATGGTGGGTACTGTGCAGCTGATGTTTTTGCTTCAGTGATAGAGCCAAAGCTTGCCAACACTATTGTAAGGTTATCCATCTGCAGCCAGCCACTAGTTAGCCCTTGTTTTACAATTTTTTTTTAGTATGCAGAAAAATATCAATTTTGTTGCTTTTTTATTCTTAAGTTTCTCTTGGCTTGGTTTTTGTCTGCTTTGATGGATGATGCTATCTAGTTCTAATGAATGTTTTTTTCCTTTCTTAATTTCGCTTAGACGATTAAATCAAATAGCACCATTGGAGAATCTCCGCCATGTGAAGCGGGTGCGGAAGAATTGCATAGATGGAGGTATGATTCATCTTTTGATACACTTTTGTTGTGTCATGTTTTCCATATATGATACTGGGTAACTTGTTGGAAAAAAAGCGGGTGCAGAAAAGCAGTCAGTCCCTGTCACTATTATTTGGTGTAAGAATGTTTCTACAAAAGTGGCATTTTTTGTGTGGAATGCATACTTAAAACAAAACACTTACTAGGGACAACCTTCGGAGAAGGGTCTGTTGCTGGACCAGTATTCAGAAGCTTGTGTATTGTGTGAAGGGCACTTTGAATCATTGAATCATCTATTGCTACATTATAGATTCTCCTATGAAATATGGTCTAAAATATGGAACTTGTTTGAGGTGAAGAGATGCTGCGCAGTCTTGGTGGTGGAGTTTTTAAAGGTATGGAGGGCTGAGCGCAAGGGGAAATCTAGCTTGGGATATAGTCCATGCTGTGGTATTTTTGGTTCTTATGGCAGGAAGGAAATGCAGGAATATTCAAGAATAAGAGCAGCTCTGTTAATGCTGTTTTTTAGGAGGTTTTGGTAAAGATGTTTTCTTGGCTAGCTGCACACATGTTGTTTAGAAGTAAAGATGTTTTTTTGTACATGAAAATCTTTTTGTAAAGCAGGGTTTGGAGGTATAGTGCTGCAGGGAGCTTTTGTATGGTCCTTGAGTACATTTTATTGTACATGGGCCTTTTGTTTTCTTTCTAATATAATACAACACTTTTTTCAAAGAAAAAATATTTGCATTTAATAAACAAATACTATAGACTGGTATGGAAAAATATTTATGTATTTACCATGGTCTGGAAATGTTCCACCTAACCTAACCTAACCTAAAGCTTTCATAAAGATAAAGAATCTCTACTGCCTTCTTTGTTGAAAAATTGCTATGATTCATGATGCTTTTCGTTGTTGGTCTTGCACTAAGCTGAAATTGGCCGTTTGTGAATCTGTTTTAATGCTTATTATCTTTGCAAAGGCCTATACATATGGATGACAATTTGATTTTTGACAGGCAAGAATCAAATATCCATCATCTTATGTGTTGCACTTAAAGGTGAGAATTGGTTAGAGGGCACACCAGATGGCATACTTGAGCTAATAAATGCCTACCAGTTGAGTCCCTTCATTGCAAAAGTGGGTCATCCTTTTCTTTATAATTATATTTCCTTTCCTTTTATGAATTTTATTTTACTATCAAAAACTCCATTTGCTTTTAATTTCCTTTTATGCATTTTAGTTTTTTATAAGGAATTACCGTTTTTAGCAAAATTGAAGAATAGGACTTTGTGACACATTGGTCATTGTCAAAACTTTTTCCAATCTATTAAAGCTTAAGCTTATCAGATTTTGGTTTTATTTTATAATTTTTTGGTTACCTCATTATTTTTTGATCAATGATTTTTGTGTATATATTTTATTACTATATAGCAAAAGGGTGCATTGCCTCAAGATACCAAAAAAAAGTTGGAATGATTATCTAAAAGTCACCATGACTTTTCAAAACCCCCAGAACCCCCTATCAATGAGTTCTATTGTCTAAATCTCACCTTCTATTAGATTTCTGTTAGATCATTGTTAGTGATTATTAACAGATTGTTGACATAAGCATTTAAGCATAGTTGTCAAGGCGATGCCTAGGCGACTAGGTGGTTTTACAATGTCGCCTCGCCCAAACGCCTATAGTTTTGTATACCAGGCGACCGCCCAAAGACTTAGGTGGGCGCCTAGGCAACTAGGCGGATGCCTAAATCCAGCTTCAGTGCTCTTTTTTTTTTTTTTCGAAAAAAACAGGGGCTTCTTCTCTCCCAGCCCAACTTCAGTTCTTTTTTTCTTCGAAAAAATAGGGGCTCCGCCCCTATCCTCCTCCTCCTCCTTCTTCCAGCCCAAATTCAATGCTTTTTTTTTTTTTGAAAAACAGGGGCTTCGCCTCTATTCTCCTCCCTCCTCCTCCCTTCCTAGTTCCTGGCTTCCTGTACTTATTATTTTTAACAACCAAACTTACTCCCTTCCTAGTTCCTAAATAAAATAGTTTAGGTCAGATTCCATCGCCTAGGCGCCTCGGCGCCCCATGGTTGCCTAGCCTCGCCTAGTTGCCTTGACAACTATGCATTTAAGTATTTTACATGACCAAACTACCCCTGAATGTTTTTTTTTGATCAGCAAAAAGATTTTATTAATAACAGAGAAATATTGAAATACAATAGTTATTAGGTTGCAGAAAGCATTAACCCAATCTGCAAACACTACAAAGCATTTACAGTTCTGCCTAGTACAAGGTAGATCTATTTGCCCCCTGTTTTTCTAGGGTGTCTACTAACCCATTTGCAGTCCTTTTGACCCAACCAAACTGAGTGTTGAACCTCCTTGCAACTATGTCAATTTCTCTGTATATAAATTTGAGCTTCCAAGGTGCAGATGTAATGTTTTGAGCTTCCAATGCTACATGAGGAACACCTACAGAAAGTTAGTGCTTACGATTAAGGCTTGAACTTCTGGTTTTAGAACAGAAGAGGAAATGGAGAAGTTTTTGCTATTGACAAAGTGGAGAAAGGTTCTGGTCGTGGAAAATAAAAGGTTCCTGCTGGAAGAAACTGGTGGAGGTTCAACAATCAAAATCAGAGAAGACAAAAGATCCTTGGTGGTTTTAAGCAGGGAGGTGTCAAGATGGTTGAAAGGCTTCATTGATGGTACAATATTTGCCATCATTGAGTCTGGTTGGAAAGAACTTGGCATTCAAAAGAAAAAAAATTGTGGAGAAGAAGATTAATAACAGAGGAGGCTATATTCAGCTGAGTGAGATATTTGAGATGGCAAAAAGCAGGTGGTGTGTATCCTAGAAGGAAAAGGAAAACAAGTTTGGATGAAGCTTGTGGAAGCCTTGGATGATTTTGAATGGAGAAGGTGGCTTTTGGAATGGATGGCAAAACTCCCCACCTTTGGAAGAGGTTAGGTTGAACCCCTAATCCAATCAACTTGGGCTCAACTGGGCCCAACATTTATATATAAATGATCATTGGATTCAGCCACCCTATGAAGATCCAAGGATAGTGGACTTATGTAAGATGAAGCCCATTGGGTAGTCAACCCTGTAATAGTCTCTGACACCTAACCTCTTGGCCCATAATCATCAAAACACTACTCACAAGTAAGGACCTCTTCCCTGACTACAAAATGCAGTGTCACTCTCTTTGCTCGTATGGATCCTGGGATTAAAACCTTTTACCAACCTTTTTTATAAAAATAGTAATATAACATTTCCATCAGAGAGAGTATAAACCCTGATATTCACTTTGTTTGGCAAAGGGGCCAATTCTGTCACTATGATCACCCACTCAAGTAATTTCCTTAATTGCCCCAACATGCCTAGATATTTGACCCTTAATGGATCTCATTAGTTGGCACATCAAAGACAGTTCAGTCCAAAATCTAGTATAGTATCATAATCAAGTCTAGGGGTTAAGTGCAAGTTTTCAGTTTTGCCTATCTATCTCCAAGGTATAGGGCATAACTGGAAATTGGTCCGGGTTTGGTGCATCTTCCCACCACCCACTATCTACGCTTGGGGCCTAACCCTAACAACTGAGACAAGCTGCTCCACCAATTCGACAATACAATAGTGTCAGCCTTGTTAGGATAAACTTCCAAAGTCTATCCAATGGTTGAGAAGATTCTAAACTAATACGAGTCTCATGAGTGTCCAATTTAAGGAGTAATTCATAGAAATATACCAAATGTGATCATGAAACAATAATGTACTTATATTATTTATAAATGTTTGTGTACATCAATCTGATTGGAGCTAAGGGCATACACTATCTAGCACAAGGTATTTAGACATCGAATTTGCAAGGGAGCTAGGAAACTTCATTGGAAAATCTGATTGGGGGAACAAAATTAGAGTCGACAAAGCAAAATACAAGCTTGAAACCTTCCTAACTTGACAAATTTGGTTCTACTGGTTTGGGGAACCACCATATGGAACAAATTATCGAAGGAGTTGCTACTTCAACCCCTACTATGTCTACCTCTCTGCTATATTTTGGTAACCTCTGTAATTTTGATGTTTTGTTTTTGGTACTAACCCTTACCATGTTGGTTCTACAGATCTTTTAACTCCCATCCATGGCTCTGAAGTTCCCTTGGTGGTGCCTGAAGGCGGAACGACTATGATAGGTTTAGAAGGAGGGGGTGGTGAAGGAGCAATTAGAAGCAGGGAAGGAGGGATTGTTGACACTGAGTTTAGGAGGGTGAGGTCAAGGAAAATGGGGGAAGATATAGTACATAGTGAAGGTTTAGGTAAGAGTAGGGAAAAAGGGAGTCCAAAGGAAAATTTGACTCAAAAGAATTCTAAGGTTGAGGAGAACTTGATGGAATGGAATAAGGGGAAGGAAGAAGAAGTCATGTTTGGAAAGAACAAAACAAGTGGAGGCTTATAAAACAAGTGGGGGCTTATAGTGTAGAGGACCTGGTGATGAACTTGGTTGATAAAATGAGATTGAAGATAGAAAGATCTAAGGAAGTGAAGTCTCAGACTAGGAAAGAAAAAGAGAGGGGAGGTAAGAGGAGATGAAAATTGAATGAAGTTATGAAACTTATCAATGATAGGGAAGTGGACAAGGAGTTTAGAACTAGAGGGGGAAGAAGAAATGGGGGCTATAGGAAAAGTAAGGGTTGGGTTAAGTTTTTCTATGACAATGAAGATTATCAGTTGGAATGTGAGAGGGCTAGGGAGTGCTACAAAAAGAAGAGCAATCGAGGAAATATTGAGGAAGGAGAAACCGGATATTGTGTTAATCTAGGAATTGAAAATTCATGAAGTAGATAGAAAATGGGTAAGGAATTTTTGGGTAGAGAGAAATATTAATTGGAGTTTTGTTCCATCATGGGGTGCCTCAGGGGCATAATAATAATATGGAAAGAGGAGGTGGTATAGTGCATGGAAGAGTTGGTGGGGAAATTTTCAATTTCTACTAAATTGATGAGTGTACAGGATGAGTTTGAATGAGTTCTCAGGATTGTTTATGGGCCAAACTCTCATAGAGAGAGAGGAACTTGATGTGGGAGGAGTTATTAGACATTAAGGGACTTTGGGAAGGGCGTGGTGCATAGGGGGAGACTTCAATGTTATTGGATTTGTGGGTGAGCCAAATAGAGGTAGGCAAAGGATTACTTCGAGAATGAGGAAATATAATGATTTTGTTGAGGCCTTTGAATTGAGAGATATTCCATTGGGTTAGTCTTGCTATACTTGGTTGAATCTTCAAGCTAATCCCATCTGTTCTAAACTTGGTAGATTTCTAGGTATCTCTAGGCTGGGAAGAGCATTGGACAAGCCTATTGGGAAGAGCTTTTCCTAGAATTACCTTAGACCATTGGCCAATTTGTTTGTTTCAGAGGATTATTGATGGAGGCCCAACCCCCTTTAGATTTGAAAACATGTGGGATGTGGCTCATTCACTCGGAATTCAAAGAGAGAGTCAACATTTGGAGGGATACCAAGTTCAACTACCAAACTAAGAAGGCCAAAGGTTTCTAAAGAAATTGCCATTGTTGAAAAAGGAAATTAGAGATTAGAATAGAGAGAAGTTTGGAAGAGAAGAAGAGGAAAAAACTAATTTGATCTCACAAATTGAGGAAATTGATAAAAAAGAACTGGATGGTTCCTTAGCAGTTGGTGACAAGGAGTTGAGATGGTCCTTGAAGAAGTTAGAGGAGACATTATTAAGAGAGGAAATTAGTTGGAAGTAGAAATTTAGAGAGAGGTGGATCAAGGAAGGTGATGGTAATACAAGATTCTTCTATGCCATTGCAAATGGTAGGAGGAAGGGTTTGATTGCCTCCTTAATGGTGGGGGAGTCAGAGATTATAGATCAAAGTGAAATTGCTATGACCTTTGTGGATCATTTCATTTCAATTTATAGAAGACCTGCCATTGAAAGGTGGACGGTTAAAGGTATTGATAGGAAGGTCTTGGGAGATAATAAAGTGGAGTTTCTGAAAAGAAGGTTTGAGTAGGATGAAATCAAGGAAGCAATTTCTCAATAGATAGATCAAAAGCTTCGAGGCCCAATGGATTTACAATGGCCTTTTATCAAGATTGCTGGGACATAATTAACGCCGTCGCCGATTTGATTAGAGTTTTTAGAGAGTTTCATAGAAGAGAAGTTATTAGCCTGGGTATGAATTCTACTTTTATAGCTTTGGTCCCAAAGAAGAGTGATGTCAACCTTTTAGGGGATGTTAGACCTATGAACCTAGTCACTAGTATCTACAAAGTAATTGCAAAGGTGTTGTTTTTGAGGATCAAGATGGTGATTCCCTCACTTATTTCACAATTTCAAGGGGCCTTTATTCATGATAGGCAAACAGGCGATCAAATTCTAATTGCTAATGAGTGTGTGGAGGCTCAAAATAGATTAAGGAAGAAGGGGGTTGCAATCAAGTTGGATTTGGAGAAAGCCTATGATTTGGTGGACTAGGAGTTTTAATTGATAACATGAGGTGTGACTTTGGGGATTTGTGGTGTAAATTGATAAGAGGTTACTTACAAACAAGTAATTACTTAGTTATTCTCAATGGTTCGGTGTTTGATTTCTTTGAAGGGTTTTGTGGCCCACTCTCTCCCATTCTCTTTACTTTGGTAGCTGAAGTACTAAGTAAGTTGATTTCAAGAGTGAACTGTATGCAGTTGTTCAGAGGTTGGTCAGTAGGGAGAGACAACATCTTGATTACTCATTTGTAGTTTGCAGATGATATCTTGGTATTTTGTGATGAGGATTGTAGAGATGGGGTGGAAAACTTGAAGTTGGTAGTGAAGCTTTTTAGAGATTGTCCAATTTAAGGATTAATTGGTCTAAAAGTTTAATAATTGGCATCAATGTAGAAGGAGATGAATTGAGGTCTATGGTAGAATCTTTAGGTTGTGAGAGGGGAGAGTGGTCCTTGAGATATTTAGGGTCACCCCTAGGTGACAACCCTAGATCAACTAGTTTTTGGACCTTGGTGGTGGAAAGGTTTGAGAAGAGATTAGCGGGGTGGAAAAGGAAAGGAACTATATTTCATTGGGTAGGAGATTAATTCTAATCAAGTCCACCCTTGCCAACCTTCCAGTGTACTACATGTCAGTTTTTAGGATAGCCCAAGCTGTGGTGAGGAAAATTGAAAAAAATCATGAGATTTTCTATGGGAAATAAGGGGAAGGGAAAAAAAAGATCATTTGGTAACATGGAAGAAGGTGGTGAAATTGAAGTCAGAAGGGGGTTTGTGGATTGGTAATGCCAATGAAAAATTTGGCTTTATTGAGCAAATGGCTTTGGAGGTTTCCCAAAGAAAATGAGGGATTATGGCACAAAGTTGTTCCAAGCATTCATGGGATATCAAGCAATGGATGGGATGCTGGTTGTCTATGTAGAGCTACTTTGGCTGCTCCTTGGAAGGCTATTCATGAGATCCTTCCTGCCTTCCTCAACCATGTCAGGTATAAGTTGGCTTCAGGTCAAAATTTAGGTTTTGGGAAGATGTGTGGGTTGGGGATATTCTTTTGATTGAGAGCTTTCCCTCATTTTTTTCTCTTTCCAGTTTTAAGGATAGACCTGTGTCTGATTTTATTTGCCTGCACTCTCATCCTTCAAGGCTGAAATGAAATTAGGTTTTAACAGGAAACTTAGAGAGTCTGAAATTCCTAGTGTGTGATTTGCTAAGCTTGCTGAATTCAATAGTTTTGGGAGAAGGTGTTTTGGACAATAGGGTTTGGGGCCTTAATCCTATATGTTTGTTCTCTTGTAAGTCTTTCTTTAACTCCATTGTAGTCAGCTCTTCTTCTTTCCCTGTTACGGAAATTTGGTGTTTTCCATTCCCCCAAAAATCAATGCTTTTTGTTGAGAAGTGTTTCATGGTAGTATTAATACTTGTAACTTGCTTCAAAGAAAAAGACCAAATTGGTGTTTGTCCCCTAGCTGGTGCTTCTTATGTAAGTTGAATGGTGAGACTGTTTTTTATCTCTTAATCTCTTGTTCCTTTGTTAGATTTATTTGTTCAAAGAAAAAGACCAAATTGCTTCAAAGAAGAATGATTTCAGAAGATTTAAATGGATATCAAGGAACATGCCAATTCAAGTGGGATGGGTAAGGAGATCTGCCAACAGTTTGACAGATAGCTTAGCAAAGCAAGGGGTTCAAAGAACATATATGTTTTGGGCACATTTGTAATTCTGTACTGGGTCAACTTACTATGCTGATTTCTTTTGTAACTTATTGTCGTAACCTAAAGTATTTTAATGAATAAAAGTTTCAACGTTATTGATAAAAAAAAGTTTTATTTGGGATTGGTTTTCTTCTTTCTTTGGTTGCATATGGTTCTCTCTTGACAACTTGGAAGTTGGAAGGATTATTTAGCGCTTCAGTTTTTAATTGCACTAAAAGGAGGGTCAGGATATTGTGGAGATGTACTAGAGCAGCGGTGATCTGGCCAGTTTGGGGGAAAGGAACTCAGTAATTTTTGAAGATAAAGAAATAATTAAGGAATCTCTAGTAGAGGTCATAACATTAAGAGTGGCACAATGGGCTAAAACTCTGAAACTCTTTTCAGATTTTAAGGTTGATGATTTTTTCAGATCTTGGGGTGTAATGTAATAGCTGTTTCATCATCCAGGAGACAAAAAATATTTGTGGAGTTGTCACCTCCAAACTGTGGTTGGAAGAAACTGAACCTTGATGGGAGTTGTGTGAGCAATCTGGGTCACTCAGGTATTGGAAGGGTCATTTGGGATGAGGAAGGTAACATAATAGCCTTATATTCAGGCCCAACTGAGCAAGGTGATGTAGTTAGATCAGAATTATTGGCTGCAGTTTATGGGGTTGAGAAGGCCAAAGAATTGGGTATTGAAAGATTGATTATTGAGGGTTATTTGAGAATAGTTGTGGAATGGCTGAAAAAGGAGGGGGTGACATGGCACTTAAGGAATGACTTCAGTGCTTCAAATGGCTGTCAAAAGGCATGATGGTCCAAGTTAAATGGCTTAGGAGAATTGCAAATAGTCTGGCAGATGGTTTAACTAAGAAAAGGGTACAAAGGTAATCCTTGTATTGGGCTCAATTCTAATACTTGGGATGAGTCAGCTCTACTGGAGCTGCTGTTTCTTCTTTCACAACCTCTTGTTGTAATTCTTTTTTCTAATCTTAATGGAATTAGTTCTGTGTTTCTGATAAAAAAAAAACAAAAAGATAACATCATTAGACGATGACAATGGTTTCTCTTCTTCCACAAGAATCACTGTTTCTTCACAAATCACAACGGGGTCTTTGCTCTGGTCAGAAGTTATAGTGTTAATAACATAATCCTTATTAATCAAAGAGAATAGAAGAGAATGAAGATGAAAACTAAGATTGAAGAGAGGAAAAGAAAATTAGATTAGGTAAATGGTTTAGTGAATCTGTTGAGTATCATACACCTAACTATTGACTTATATATAAGGAATAACGATTACAAGAAATCTCCTATCTCTCCTATGTAATTAAATAATTTCAACTAAAGCTCAAAAGACCAAAAAAATCGTCTCCTCAACTGTTAATCATGTTCATTGCTGAAATTTTGGTTTTGCCCATCTAATTTTGTTGAAATATATTGTCTACAGTTCTCTTATGTAGATTGGTTCATACTTCATGTTTGTGCTAATCGTACGTTTTTAGGAGGTTAAAATTGTTCTTTGATAGCTTGGTGTCTTATTTGCATTTTCTTTTACTGCATAAATGGTTCTTTTGGTTTATGATATGGATGCTCGTGTATAAATAAATATTGAAATTGCTCTCAGGTAGCTAAGTATGCTGCTTTGTCAAAGGAAGAGTGGGAGGAACAATGCAAGCTTTGGCCAACGTCGTATCATCCACCAACCTAGTAAGCTTAAGCATCTTTAATTGTTTGTTCATTTGTTTTCTGATAATTGCTTTTATCCATTTTCTGATATGGACATTTAATGCATGGAACTGGTTTTCATGGTTGAGCTTGGGTTGTGAAATGCAAGCAAGTGCAACAATGGTTCAGAGAATTTATTTCTTTGTTGTATTTTTTTATCAATAATTGTGAAAATTTTAGTTGTAAATAAAAAGAATGATATGTGCAACTGTTTGTGTGTGGTACGGGTACCCCAAAAGAAGTCCTAGCCCTTTGTACCCTTAACATGATACAAATACCTATTTGATACTTTCCACTAGTCCCCAACTTGGTGGATCCTTTCCTAATACAGCTGAGTTTTATTTGTACCTTGCCATGCTAATACATCAGCCACGGGTGTTGTCTTGAAAAGTTCATCAAGCTTATTAGTCTGTTCTATTTTGTAGTTGGTCCAGTACTAATGTCTTTATTTTTATCCATGATTTTAATGAATAAATAATGTTTTTTTTTTGAAAATTTCTGCTTCAAACCTTTAGGGTATGTTTTATGCTAACATGGGGGTTGTTTAGGGCATGATATGACATGGAGTCAACATGGGCACAGTTTATTCAAATATCTTCATTCCTTCATTATTAGTGAGAATCATGCTACTGAATCAGGCACATCACAATGGGGGAAGGTAGAGAGATACCTATTGGAAATAAGTTAAAAGTTGAATTCGACCCTGGCCTTGAAGATGCAGTGGTCCCAATTCAAAACAAGATTAGGTTGTACCCCCACCCCCAAACTTGTTTATTGCATTCATGTCACCAATCCACCTAAGCATGGAAGCTATAATTAAACTTTGATGGATGTAGTTCAGGAACTGGGGGCTTGGTACAAAGTGGCTTGTAGAACTAGAGTAATGTGATTAGGAAGGAAATTAAGAGATTGAAGTTTTGTGTGCTTTCAATTTTTTCTTCTTTGATCATTAAAGGAGAGTTTTATTTGAAATTAAAGTTAAAAAGTTTTACAACTTTGTGTATGGGACTAGAAGTCCCACACTATTACATATTTCTGTCCCTTTTTACATTGCAGCCCAAAACAATTGTTGACTCAAAGCCCCTTGTTTAGCAAGATAATCAGCTATCCCATTTGCACTCCTTCTAACCCATTTGAATTCTGCCTCTACCTCCCTTGCAACATTTTCCACTTCCCTTATCACTTGTTGAAAGTCCACGGAGTAGTTCTATTGTTTTTAGCCCAAGAGATGATCACCTTGGAATCCCCTTCAACCTCAATATGCCTCATTCCTAGTTGCTTGGCTATCTTCAATCCTTGTAGCAATGCCATTACCTCAGCTTTTAGAGAGTTGCCCATGCCGATAGGTCCAAAGAATAATGCTAATATTCTCCTTTCAGAATTTCTGGTTACGCCCCCGATACCTGACAATCCCGGATTTCCAAATGAGCTTCCATCAAAATTCAGTTTAATTCTGTTACCATATGGAGATTTCCATTCCATCCTTACTCTCTCTTTCACTCATGAAGATTGTGCTACTTCTGTCCAAGATCTTATAATTTTTGTGACTGAGAAATCTTGGAAAATATGCAAAGATCTTACCCAATGAGCTACTTTAACTTTGATTGTGTCAATTACCTCCTCCTTTATTCTATTCTTATCCAAGAATATTCTGTTATTCCTTTCTTCCCATATCACCCAAAAATAGCTGCCTTTGTAGCTTTCCACATGACCTTCCCTCTTTTCTTTGATTGCCTAAAAAAGTCTTTGGTTGAAAAGTCCTGCAACCAAAGAGAAGACAAAAAGATTCCCAAATATGATGCACAAAGGAACAAGATAACAATAGATGTGTCAAGGTCTCACCACTTTCCTTACAAAGGGAGCACATGTGAGGAGAAAGGCAAGCAAAAGGCCTTCTTTTCTGTAGCATATCACACGTGTTAACCTTGCCAATGAAAATTTCCCAACAGAAGGCTTGAATTTTTGGAGGGATAGGCTTACTCCAAATTTCTTTTACAGGGAATTCCCCAACCGGGTTGCTAGGTGTGGCAAGAACATTAAAGAAAGAGGAACAAGAGAAGAGGCCATCTGAGGAACTTTTCCAAATTCTAGAATCTTCCAAGGATGGGCCCAGATGAACTTGTCCTATTAGATCCAACAATTGAATTAAAGAGGCACATTCATTTTCCCTAAGGCCCCTCTTGAAACCCAGATTTCAATTGACCCCACTTGCGCCAGGATTACCCAAAATGCTTACTGTTTCCCCTTTGAAGTTTGACAAAGTGTATAGGTCAAGGAAGAGGTCTTTGAGTGGACTATCTCCCACCCAAAGGTCTTTGAGTGCTTGACTATGTTGTGTTCAAGTTTATTTTTACATTTTTACTTTGAATAAGTTTTATATGTTATATTTATGTGTTTTGTTATTCTCATTCTCTAAGCAATGTGAGACTTAGGGAAAACACTCAATGGTTGCACCAACTATTTAGTGTTGTCCCAAGTCCAACATTGCTCAAGAATAGGAGTGAAGGCCTTGCTTTCATCTATAAAAGGATAGGTAACCCAAACCAAATTAAGCCTAACAATTAAATGAGGCCCATTTCTTATTTTTTGTGCCATAGGGCTAAAGCCTAGCTAAGTCCAATTTAACTTTAGCTTGTGAAAATTTTTTATGCATACTATACTTAAGTTTTTATTATTTGATGCCATGAGCCCAAAGTCATTACTCATTAGGCTTGGAAAGCTCGTAAACCCAGCCCAGGCCTATGTAGGGCCAGGCTTAGGCTTGCAATCTAGAACTAGGGTGCGGGCCGGGTTGGGCCAAGGCCTAGCTTAAAGCCCATATAATTGGTGCTAAGCTAAGCCCTCCAGGCCTAGCATATGATCACCCCCATGGTTTAAAATGTCCCTAATTTCCCTAATATTTCCACGACATATTTCCATTTTCTTGGGTAGGACACGAAATTTTACCGGAATCGACATTTCCCCAATGAACACTACCAACACTGTGGAGTATAAGAGATAGCTTCCATGACATATTTTCATTTCCACTTCCATGGGTGGCAACATGAAATTTTACTAGAATTGACATATTCCCCAATGAACACTACAAATACCATGTGGAATGCAAGAGATGGTATTATAACATAAGTTGGTGACAATATTGTAGGTATGTTTAGTAACAAGTTATTGTCCACCTAACTTATGTGGTTACCACTTTGATCTAACTCAATATTCATTATTTCATTTCAAATATGAAGTTAAATATTAGTTTTTATTTGTGTAATAGATTATTTGGTTGATCTATTACAACTATTTACATTTTCTATGAGTTTAAATTTTGCTTTAACTCATTTTATCATGAAGCTCTGAATCTTAAGGTTTACGGGGCAACTTTGAAACATACTCTTTTGTCTATGACCTTAGTTTCTTAGCTTTGTTTAATGATTTGGAATAAGATAATAACTTAAAAAGGTGTGCCTATGCTTCTTTTATCGTTTCATAAAATACCATTCTATATTTTGCATATTTTACAATGTTTCCACCATATCTATAATTTTTACAACATTTCCGACATTTCTGACATGTTTCTTATATTTGGATGACCGACATCGACATTTCAAACCTTGATCACCCTTACTCAGGACAAAAAAGGCCCTTGCACTTTTTCATGCACCTTGGGCTATTAAAACACTGAGTGGGGCATTGTAATTCGCTCAAGACAGAAATCCTAACCCTCTTACAAGGCCAAAAATTAGTGCCATTGCAAGATGGACAGACCTAATTATTGACGGGGACTGTAAGATTATTTTGAATTGGATAAGGAAAGTTGACAACTTCCTATCAAAAAAAGGTTGATAACTTCCCTTGGAGGTTGCGAACAGACTTAATATGTTCTTAATTAATGACAAAGATAAGAAAAAACAGGTCTGAAAATAGAGAGAATAGAGAAGAAGAGAGGAGAGAGTAGAGAGTAGAGAAGAAAAACTAGGGATGTGAATAACGGAAGAGATCGTACAAGTGATCTCAATTGCCGCTCTATTTTATTAATCCGATAATAATGAGCAAGATTGCATAAATACCCTATTAAATATTAATAGAACAAATAAAACAATAGGAATTCATTCATAAAAAAAAAACAAATAAAAGAATAGGGTCCCCAACTGTTGACTCTAAAGTAATAACAGAAATATAAGCTAACTTCTAACAGTCCCCCTCAAGTTGGAGCATATATGTCGTAAAGCTCCAACTTGTTACATATTTGTTTCATTTGAGCCCAATTTAAACCTTTCATGAACAAGTCAACAAGTTGATTTTCCAACTTAACAAAGGTGTAATTTGATATGAATGGGAATCTTCACACCAATTTCATGTAGTAGCTGCTTCAATTAAATCAACTCACAAGTCATGTGTGCCATGGCTCTATATTCTACTTCATGACTGCTTCTAGCCACCACCCTCTACTTTTTGGTTTTCCAAGTGACCAAATTTCCAGCTATAAAAAGGTGCAATAACTAGTTGTGGGTTTTCTATTAGTAACTGAGCCTGCCCAGTCTGCATCTATATATCCTTCTAGAGACAGTTCTTTCCCCTTATTTACAACCCTTGACCTAGAACACCCTTCAAATAGTAGAGAACCATAATAAGACCTTCCGAATGACTTGTCCTTGGATTTTGCTTTTCCAAGTGACCAAATTTCCAGCTATAAAAAGGTGCAATAACTAGTTGTAAGTTTTCTATGAGTAACTGAGCCTGCCAAGTTTGCATCTATATATCTTTCTAGAGACAGTTCTCCCCCTTCTTTATATAACAACCCTTGACCTAGAACACCCTTGAAATGGTAGAGAACCCCAATAAGATCTTCCCAGTGACTTGTCCTTGGGTTTTGCGTGAAGCCATGAACTGACTCCACTCCTACATTGAAAGAGTTATCTGGCTTTGAAATGGTAAGATAAGCTTTCCCACTAACCTCCTATACTTGCTAGGGTCATCTAGGAACTCCCCTT